TTTTGCCTGTGAGCCAAGCTTGAGCTACTTGAGAACAAGCAAGTTGGGCTCGAATTCAAGTCTAGTCAAAGCCTGAGCCAAGGCTGAAGAAGACATAAGGGCAACCTAGCCTGAGCTTGAACAAAACTGTTTTTGACTCAGCTCAGCTTGTTTTTAACCCCAGTTTTCTCTACATTGCACTGAAAAGGATGTTGTACTATCACTTTTTATGCTGGTTTGTGTGTACCTGATGTGTAACTTTCTTACCATTTAGTCTTTAGTACAACTGAGCATGAAGTCTACTAAATGAGTGACATTTTTAAACTGTGGGAAACTGTGACTATGTGCTTATTAGTTTTTTTTTGATGATATTGTAATTCTTCTGAGAGGACTGCCTGTGCATTTTGGTGTCAGAGCAAGTTTTCAATTATTTTCTTTGTCATTCTTTTAATTGCAGTTCTGGAGGTTGGTGACGGAGTGTTTGAGGTGCTTTCTACCTCCGGAGATACACATCTGGGTGGTGACGACTTTGACAAGGTTCACAACATTTTTTCGTCCCCCATCAATATGTGATTTGTTATTGGTGAAGTTATTCATCTCTTAAATACATCATGCAGAGAATTGTCGACTGGCTTGCTAAAGATTTCAAAAAAGATGAGGGCATTGATCTTTTGAAGGACAAACAAGCTCTTCAGCGTCTGACTGAAACAGCAGAGAAAGCCAAAATGGAACTGTCATCTTTGACACAAGCAAATATTAGGTGTGCATTGTCTTAGAGCTTAACGTTGACTGCTCGCTCTCTTTTTCTCTGTATGTTTGGTTACATTGTTCCTGATTTCTCCTTTCCCAGCTTGCCTTTCATTACAGCCACTGCTGATGGCCCTAAACACATTGAAACGACCCTTACGCGGGCAAAATTTGAGGAACTATGTTCAGATCTGCTTGACAGGTACCTGATCTTATTTAAAACATGGTGCAAAGTAGCTGCTTGGTTGCATGTCCCAATTTGTTGCTTGTTGGTGCTTGGTGGTGCTTGAATTTGTCTGCATTGGGAACATAAACGATTTTTGTGATGTCTATTATTGTTAATTTTTCAGTTGATTCTAACATTATTGTGAAGGCAATTAGTGTATAATTTTTTATGTTTTTTTCTCCCATGTTAGGCTTAAAACACCAGTTCAAAATGCCTTGAGGGATGCAAAACTGTCATTCAGTGATCTTGATGAAGTGATCCTTGTTGGTGGATCAACACGTATACCTGCTGTTCAGGAACTTGTTAATAAAATGACTGGGAAAGCACCTAATGTTACTGTCAATCCTGACGAAGTTGTTGCACTTGGAGCTGCTGTTCAGGTGGGTTGTAGTATCTTTTTTCATGTTGTATTTATCACTCAGAAATCTTGCGTTCTCTCCTATTATCATAGTTGATAACCCATTGATGGAAGAAGACTCGGATATACTACTGTCGTACTTCAAGTTTCACTAACTGGCTATGCATGCTCGTATATTCTACTTTGTTGAAATAATGATCTTCCATGTACTCATTGGTTCTGTTTTAGGCTGGTGTTTTGGCTGGGGATGTCAGTGATATTGTCCTTTTGGATGTGACACCGCTGTCTATAGGGCTGGAAACTCTTGGTGGTGTTATGACAAAGATCATCCCTAGAAACACAACCTTGCCCACCTCAAAGTCAGAAGTATTCTCAACAGCCGCCGATGGACAGACAAGTGTAGAGATTAATGTCCTTCAAGGTGAGAGAGAATTTGTTAGGGACAACAAATCTCTTGGAAGCTTCCGCCTGGATGGTATCCCACCGGCACCACGTGGAGTACCTCAAATTGAGGTCAAATTTGATATTGATGCAAATGGCATTCTCTCTGTCACTGCTGTTGATAAAGGCACTGGGAAGAAGCAAGATATAACCATTACTGGTGCTAGCACGCTGCCTGGTGATGAGGTATGTTGTCATGTAAAATTTGTCTTCATACTGATTGATAAAGCATGTGAATTCAGCATTCATCTTGCTACCAGTTTTTTGCACTTTTAACTCAAAAAAAAGGATCACTCTTGAGCCATTTCTGTTTGGTTACCCTAATACAAGAACCGCAAGTAATTGGAAATAATGGAAACTGTTGTTAGAATGATTGTAGCAATGGTATTGGTGTATTCAAAAATTGCAGATGGGTAGTGTTGGTTGGATGAGATAAAACTTGTTTGCTTTGCTGCTGTATGGTTGGTGTTCTGCTGATGGGGGTTTGTGGTTTCGTCTCCCGGGCATTACTGACAAGGGGTGGTAATGTTATTTTCATACCTGAGGGGGACCCGTTTGATTTAGCCATGTGATTTAGGAATAAAGCTTGGGGGTTTTGGCTGTAATTAATCCTTGTTTATTGATTCTTTTATAGGTAAATTTCGTTAATGTATAGGAAATGTCCATGATATGCATCCTCAAAATCCATTAGAGGAATAACCCCCGCTACGACTCCTTTACAAGAGCAAAACTGTGTAAAAAATGAGTGAATCTATAGGAGATTCTTACCATTGCACGGGTCCCAAACATATTTAACATAGGTGGAAAGAGCAAGATTTCATTAGACATGTTCTAACGTGTCTTCAGTGGCCGCTGTTAGACTGTTATGTTATCCCCCATGACACAAAACAATGGGGTTTACTTCAACTGTTGAATGAAATTTCATGAGAAGTAGACAAAAATTACTTTTCGCGAGCCAGACTGACTCATAGCATACTGATACTGAGAATCTGCCTAAACGGAAATATGCAGGTAGAGAGGATGGTTAACGAAGCCGAAAGATTTGCAAAGGAAGACAAGGAAAAGAGAGATGCTATTGACACCAAGAACCAAGCAGATTCAGTTGTCTATCAGACAGAGAAGCAGCTGAAGGAACTGGGAGACAAGGTTCCAGGCCCAGTGAAAGAGAAGGTTGAGGCAAAACTTGGAGAGCTCAAGGATGCAATCTCAGGGGGCTCAACCCAGGCCATAAAGGATGCCATGGCTGCTCTCAACCAGGAAGTTATGCAGCTTGGCCAGTCACTCTACAACCAGTCAGGTGCAGCGCCTGGTACCGACTCCCCTCCTGGCAGCGGAGCTGGGCCTTCGGAATCATCAAGCAAGGGCCCAGATGGAGACGTGATTGATGCTGATTTCACCGACAGCAAGTGAGAACAGGAGAGGGCCAGTAACCTCATTTCCTCTTTTTGGCTTATAGTCTTAAATGTGTAAAGGAATATTTTGTTGGCATTGGATTTGATGCTGGGGGTTATTTTTTAGCTGCTTCCAAATTTTTATTAGGATATTAGGGGATATAAGTGTCCTGATAAGTATCTATAATAGTGGGAACTTTAGGGGGCCAACCCCTCCCCCGGACAAGGTTTTAATTGTTTGTCATTGCAATGCTGAATGAATCCTCAAATGAGAATTTTGCTTGCCTTTTGGCCCCTTGTTGATTTTATGGTTCCTTCTGTTTTATCCATTCATTTCTGAAAATGACTGCTAATTTTCCATAATATTGCCGGATTAAATTGCAGTGTGGTTGTGAAAATCGTTTGCCAATCTCTGTACCATTGCCTGATTAAATTGCAATGTGGGTGTGCTGTATGAATTACTTGAATCATGATCGAAAGTGAATTACCTTGTGATTTATGTCCAGTACAGAGGAATAGTTCTGATCAACTGTAGGTATATAGGGCTGTTTACCTCAGAAATGCTCCAAATAAGCTACTATAGTGTAATTGCCTCAGAAAATGGATGCATTGCTGACCTTGATGAGGTCTGTGCTCATTTGTCTTGTTTGGGGGATTTTTTTGTATGTGATTTTTTTTTTGATATTGTACGAAAAAGTTACAGCCCAATGAGGTCGACTCAAATGGGCCAGGTTATAACTCAAATGTAATTGAGATCGATTTGAAATATTTGGACCTCATTGAATTGTAATTTAAACCTTGGTAAGTAATTCTAGGATTGAATGGTCATGCCATGCTTACCAATTCAAAATCATGAACCTTATTCGACTTTACATCTCAAGTTAAATTATATTTTTTATCCTAATAAATTGGTACTTTGAATTGTAAATTACTATTATTTTTTTGCTAGTCATAGACCCCATGTTTTAAAAGGTAAGTTCACTATTCGTCTTGGCCTCGGACATGGACTTCAAATTTATCTCATTCCGGTACCCATACCATCTAAGTGAGATCGAGGATAAAATTAATTCAATCTCACCCTCTTATTCTAGAAACAAACAGATCACTCTCCAATTACGGAACCCTAAATTAATCGCATCACACCAAACAATTCAAGGGCAATCAATAACATAACAACATTCCAAGTTCATATCTCACAAGGACTTATCACATTAAAACAACTTCTTTTGGCAGCGACAGCCCCGCCATTTTGAACCACTTATATATGGTTGTGAACATATCACTATCAAATAATGCCGTGACAATTCATAATTTGAGAACAAAATGATACATTTCAACTGATGGTATGGGCCTGGGCGATTACTTGTGCTTCAAAAATATAGATGATGGAAAAGACCACCTAATGCCCTTCAAATAATTTGATGCAAAATGAAAAATGCCTCTCCTTATTCTGTAACGTTTCTTTATTTTAAAACAAAATCATGTATCTTTGTTGGATGTTACACATCGAATGACTATTTATAAAATAAAATCATATGTTTTTGTTAGATAACAGAATTTTGGTGTCTCACCGCCGGTTCCGCACACTGATACACTGTTTTGGAATTACACCACATGGGCATGTATGAACCAAATAATCGGGTCTTGCATCCGGCGGAGAATCAAACCCTACTTGCTGTATCCGACATAAGTTTTTCATACAAATTATGCGACTCAGTCAAATTTTCGATCTAACTTTCCCCGAGCCCAAATATCATCCACATTGAATGATGTTTGATCAATCATGCACACACATTCACACTCATGTCTAATAAATTATATCCAAAGCATATAACTTCCACAAAGTCATCACAATGCCAATATATATCATAAGCATACACCAACATTCACATTTAACAATTATTTTTCCTAAGCATGTCATACATAATCTATGCAATAACACACTTAACTTTCACATAAGCATTTTGTCAAACACCTTCAAGGCACCAAATCATGCTATCATATAAAAATGCCCATAATTATCACATAAATTAAAAAAAATCACATTTAGTAATTTTCACATACCCAATTATCAAAATTCCAAGAAATCATAATTTAGCAATTCCTATGTATTTAAGTAAAGATAGAATTTATTCTACCCATTTTCAACATTTCAAATACAATAGACATTTGTTAAATCAAATCTAACAACCTACCCATTTCATACAATCATCTTAGGTTGAAAATAAACCTAAATAGGATGAAAACCCTAGCTCTTGAAACGTAAAACAATACTAGGAAGTTCCAAGAACCTAAACTTTGCCCAAAACCAAACTTTCTCCAAAATTCCGTCTTTGAATTATTGGTGAAATCCTTCTTTTTTGGTGTGGTTGTGTAGCCCTCATTGTGTAGATCGACTTTAATACTTGGCATGAAGAATTTCGACTGGCGGAACTTTGTAGATCTGAGAAAGAAGTCTTGAAATCTTTCTTTTTCCTTATCTTTCTCTACCAACTTGAACCCGACAGAAACCCAGTAGAGATGTGTCTAAAAAATTAGATTTTTGTTCCTATTTATACAATTTAACGCTTGGTCCACGTCGTGCCACACGTCCCCCATTCTCTGGTCCGTTTTTGCCCCAAAAAGATTAAATTTCGTACCGGTTCAAGCTCAAAATATTTTATGTGAACTTTCTTTAAATTATTTTTCAACTTTGGAATCTGACAAAATTTGTCTGAGTAACTAGATTTTGCGAGACGAATTCAACGGTGATGTCCGTTTCATTATCCGAGCTCTAAAAAAATAAGGGTTCTCAACTCACACCATAGTGATAATTTGCTGTTTTACCATTTCTCATAAAAAATTCAAATTTACGCGGGTTTAACACTACATCCTTAGGATTATATATACTTTATTTATATAAAATCATACTATTTCTATTCTATAGTTTATAGTATAATTCAATTAGAATTATCTATTCATGTGTGAATTAATTCTATTCGTTCACCATTGAAAATCCAATTCCCAAAGTTCTCTCATATAAATCTGATTTTTTTTCAAATAAGGGGCAGTGTGTAGTAAAGTAAAAATACAAAAAAAAAAAAATCAGAATGAAAAGCATCCATTATCTAATGGACAAGACAGAGATCTTCTAAAACTTTGGTTTAGGTGCAAGTCCTATTTGACGCAATATATATATATATATATATATATATATATATATATATATATATATATATATATATATATATATATTGATCTCAACTATCAATAAAGACATATTTTGAAGGATTTGAATTGAAAATACTTGTTTCCCCTTTTATTGTTAAACAATTGATAAAAGTGATCAATTTCTTTATGCTTGTTCCTTAAGCATAAAAAGACGTTCCAGTTTTTCCCGAATAGCTTCTTTCAAAAGTGCTTCTACTTCCTCGATGAATGTCTTGGTAGAAGATATGATTTCTTGGAACTGAGGTATATAACTTTTTAAGTAAGTACGTAACTCAACAAGAAAATTTCCTTACCTATCCAATTTCTAATAAATCAAGACAACAATTTGTTCCTGTATAAATACTCATTATCTCTTCTTCCACTGTAAGAGGGGATGATTGAGATTGTTTGAACAATTCACGTAATTGTTGACCTCTTGCCAAATTGATTCTGAGTAGGTTTTTCAAAATTAGAAGAAAATTGCGCAAAGGCTTCTAATTTTGTGAATTGTGCCAGTTCTAATTTCAATTTACCAGCTACTTGTTTGATGGCTTTAATTGAGTTGCATACCCCACACTGGAAACCAAGATACTATCACGCCCCAAATTTCATAAAAACGTGATTAAAACAAATACTTTGTTTATTCCAAAACACACATGCCGATTTGTTGTAAAAACATCTAGGAAAATATCTTTTTAGTTTAAATAAATAATTTTTAAAAAAATTTCAATAGAGTTTTCTTTGAAAATCGGGCATTCAGATAGTTGGTGAGAGCTACATATGAGAGCATTAAACATAATAATTATACCTAACTAGTCATTCACATCATATCAACTATATACATTCATTCTCATGACATCCACAAATAAATCATTCATGTTCAAAATTGGGATAGCAAATGGAGGTCCACGAAGTCCTCCCAAACCTGGGTTACAATTTAACTATCAAAAATTCTTCGTCATGGACATAATATGTAAAACTCGAGAAATTTTAAATTTTTGTGAAAAAAAGGCAAAATGGTAATTAGCCGTTACGATATGAGTTGAAAACCTAAATTTTTTTCATACTCGGATGACTAAATGGACCTCACCGTTGAATTCGTCTCGCAAAATCTAGTTACCTAGTAAATTTTTGTTTAATTATGAGACAACCAGATTTTTTACATTTTACGAGGTGATCAGGTGTCGCATGACCAAAATAAACTAGACCAAAAATAAATTACGAAATATGGAAAATAATTTAAATTTATTTCAAATAAAATATATTAAACTTAAAAAGAAATGAGATTTAATTGATTCGGACAAAAATTAGAATAAGAAAAGAAGGGACGTGTGGCGTGTTGTGAGCCAATTATCCAAGGAGTACAAATAAGGGAGAAAAATTCAATTTTCTCAACATTACCTAGTAGATTTTCTGATAGAGAGAGAGATAATAAGAGAGAAATTCAAGGGTTTTTCCATCTTCATCTTGCAATCTAAAGTGATTCGTTCATCGGAATCATTCGGGACAAGAACCAAAGTTGATCTATGCGACGAGAGTTACATCTATGTACCAAAAAGTGTAAATTTTGACAAAATCTCAAGAACGAGATTTTTGGAAATCAAATTCTAAAGCTTGAGTTGGGTTTTCTTGGAGTTTCTACCATTCGTATTATGTTTCAAGAGGTAGGGTTCTTCTCCTAGTTAGGTTTATTTTTAACCCAGGGTTGCGTATGAAATGGGTAGTTTGATTATAGATGAATTCTCTTGTTTAATGTACTCCTAGTGTAACTAGAGTATGAGAAATAGGTATAGAAATGTGCTAAACCAATCTTGCATGAATTGGGTTTGTCGAATTTTCTTTTTTGGTAAATTCATGAGAAATGTGATAAATTGGACATGATTGTATTATATGATTTTGTGCCTTTTGGGTGTTTCATAAAATGCCTATTTTGATGCATGTGTGTTTCATTGAAAATGTTGTAACATGCTTGGTGAGAATATAGATTATAATTATATGTTTTTGATATAATTAACAATTTGGGAATGTGAGGATGTTGGAATGTAATTATATGCTTCATGATATAAGTTACATGAACGAATTGGAATTGTTCATATTTTGCTCATGACATGTTGAACATGATGTTGTAATTGCAATTGCAATCTTGGTTGCATAATGATATGAAATA